TCATATTTATATATTTATATTTATATATATAAATATTATGCCAAATATTAAATAAGATAGTTTTTGCTAATTTGTTCTAGCACGGAATTCGGGTGTGGGGAGGAATCGGGGAAGGAATCGTGTACATATGTATATTACACTCATTTAGAGAGATTTAATGATCTCTCTATCTTGTAAATATAAAATTATCATCTCTTATTGTAATACCACTGACAATTGATATAATATATACGTATATATAGATATATATATATATAACTATGTTATCTGCAATATTTATAATGTACATCGACAGTGCATTCGTCGCGTTTCTCCTAAATTTATTAACCGGTAATTTCAATCACGATAAGTCGTTTGTCGTTACTAGTAAGACCGTTTCATTTCCTTTTTTCTTTCTTTTTGGTGCCACTTACAATTGCGTCCGTTCGCTAAAAGGATTCCGTTTCCTTCTTTGTTTCGACTTTTTCACACACGCTGTTTCGTCATATACATTTTTGCGCGCACACGCACACTGTACATTCCGTTACAGGGGACAAAAATGGCCTGCTTATTCTCTCGTTTCTTCGTTATATCTCTGTCAAAACACAACAAGCGAACGAAACCGCTCCGTAAATACTCTACTTTTGATATAAATAATAATAGCAATAAATATATCTGCCGAAAAATCTCGTGAATTTTATTTCACGCTCTAATAACTATCGGTATATAATTCTCCCTGCAATATTTATAATGTACATCGACAGTGCATTCGTCGCGTTTCTCCTAAATTTATTAACCGGTAATTTCAATCACGATAAGTCGTTTGTCGTTACTAGTAAGACCGTTTCATTTCCTTTTTTCTTTCTTTTTGGTGCCACTTACAATTGCGTCCGTTCGCTAAAAGGATTCCGTTTCCTTCTTTGTTTCGACTTTTTCACACACGCTGTTTCGTCATATACATTTTTGCGCGCACACGCACACTGTACATTCCGTTACAGGGGACAAAAATGGCCTGCTTATTCTCTCGTTTCTTCGTTATATCTCTGTCAAAACACAACAAGCGAACGAAACCGCTCCGTAAATACTCTACTTTTGATATAAATAATAATAGCAATAAATATATCTGCCGAAAAATCTCGTGAATTTTATTTCACGCTCTAAATAACTATCGGTATATAATTCTCCAAAAGATTCGCCGCGCGCGCACACCTAATGTCGTCCGTTCGATTAAACTGTCAACTATCTTCTTACATTATGTCACAATCCTTCGTTCAGTCGATACGACGCAACGATTTTCGACGATGTAGGCCCTTCGTTAAAACTTGCAATATCCGAGCCATCGAGGAAGAAGTTTGCCCATAAGAGATTTATTTTTGATCAAAATAATTTCACGTTAGGTGAAAAAGTTAATAATAAACATATGTTAGACAGGTTTTTTTTTTTTTAGTTGCATAAAACATCAATTTAAGAGCTACTTCTTTCCTTTTACTTTCACATACGGCGTTGTATGAAAAAATGTGGCATATATTAAACGTACTCTACTTACATCATGTAACGACCCGTAAAGAATGTTCTTATAAAATAGCCCTATAAGTATTTTTTTTTCTCCTTTCCCAGACATCTTTCGCGACATTTTAAATAATTAGAAGCCACAATGTTCGCTGTTGATGGAGATGCATTGTTAACGCCTAAAATCGTTCGCTCGACAGCTCGTGTAATAATTAATACCTTCATTCGCCAACATTTGCATTTAGCATTAAACAATCATACTCGTCGACTGCTCATCTCGCACGGCGTGATTATTAATAAGGCGCGTAAATGTATATATGTATATATGTATATATCTATTTACAATATCATGGAAAATATACAAAGAGCATCGGCACTACAGTATATATTCTCGATTCTTTTTAAGACGTTTGATTCTTGCGTATATGTCACTGAGGTAAGTTTTCACTGGTTTCTTTTTAAACTACGGTCACTCTCTCGCATCGCATGCTCGAGAGAGCGAAGGGACAAGTACTCTCGGCAAACTGGTTTACATCGATTCCAGAGGAAAAAAAAAAAAATTAGCAAAGTCTCACACACCGAATTGAGGACCGTTTTCTTTTTTACAGAGAAATCAACATGTATAAAAACTAAGAACTTTTATAAGAAATACATTTTTTTCAATTATCTCCGTAAATATCTTTATTGAAAGATATGTGATTATAGATAACTTTACTGCGAAACCTATCAAAATTTCTTATAATACTTTATATGTATTGTAAATATGTATTGCTAAAAAATAAAAAATTGCATATTATAAACAATAATTAAATTGCTATAAAAATTATAAAACAATTAGTAAAATTCAATTAAAAAAAAATAAAAAATTCTGTAATTTTATTGAGTTCTATAAAAGCGGCCCTCAACTATCAAACTACGAATCATTTGAAACGCCAGTTGGGGCGAGAGAAATTGAATAAAAAATTAAAAATGTCTTAATTCTTAACGGTCCCGTTATGTATATATGTGTGTGGGTGAGTGTATTTATGTATGTATGTATGTGTATGTACAGCAATGCCAGCCATTTACGTATTCTTTAAGTTCTCTCTATCATCTTTTTTTTTTTTTATTTTCATACAATATGTTTTGCTGAAAACATGCGGATTTCGAAGAATTGTCGTTCGCGGCCGGTGATATGTTTTTCGCCATTCATCAAATGAAACGTTGCGTTGCAACGCGCTTGGTCAAGATGAAACGTTACGAACCGTATCGCAGGAAACGAGAATACGATTCTCCGCTGTCAATTTCTTTGTGAAACTTAGTGAGTAATATGTGATATCGCGAACTCTTTTGATTTATTTTGATATAATTGTCCTTAAGTAGAGATGCGCACCGGGAAAACTGCTCGTAAAATCTCCACAAGCTTTACGGTATATGATATCTGTGATTATGAAAATGGCCCAAGTCACAAACACGAGAAAATTCAATCATGTGTTCCTTGTTTTATTCATATTTTATAAGTTATACGCGGAGTGTATTTTAAATTTTAAAATTACGGAAAACAAAAAGTAAAAAAATTAATATTTTATATTTAAGTACGATAAAACTGTTTACAAATATTTTTTAATACATAAAAGTAATTATCTCAAAGTAAAAGATATGACTCAGGCTACTTTCTGTTTTAAAAAGAGACAGTAAACATACCGTTTTAGACAAGACTTTGTTTGAACCGAGAAACAATCTTCGTGAAAGATTTATGGTTCCTCGTGGATATATATGGTGACATCAAGCAGTTATCTTTTGATATAAAGTAGCTCCGATTTAATCTCACAATCAGAGGCAAATCTAAGCTTACAGACTCGTCGCATACGCATTCTTGTTAACGATAATTTATTTGTAAACTCGTTACACTGTTGGCCTTTCTTACATATATATCTGCATTTATCCATTATTAAGATGTTTATCGTCATATTTGACATATTTACAGATTAAATATAATATAACACTAAATCTGTACGGACCCGTTTTATAGCTAATCGCAAGTTATGCAGCCAGTGCAGTTATAGCAACGTTTCTCAAGATCGATCGTGATTTATGTATGCGCGTGCATTTCTCGAAGAAATCAAAGTCACAAATCGCAAAAAACGCAAATTAAGAATCGCACGATATTTTTTGATACTTGCATCTTCTTTATTGTCTATTGTACGTTTCCGAACGCGTCAAAATTATTTCAATAAAAATAAACTTGTGATTTTTACCTCAACTTCAAAAATTTAGCATTTATATCGTAGACGATCCTTGAAATAAAAATCGAATTGCATTTCTCTAAATATTGACGGCGTATTTTAAGTCTTACTTCAAAATTTCGTTTCGTTTTATTTAACCATTAGCTATATGTAATCTCTTTTTGTTTAAATAATCTAAATATTTATAAATTTGTTATATATGCTCTGAAAAATCTGAATATTTAAAACGACGTTAAAAGTCAATTGCTCGCGTGTGCACTTGTTAAAAAATACCTGGAAACCACATTTTGCAGCGGATTGCTTCGCTATTATGTACTATACAAAATCGACCCGTAAAATTATTTAATTGCAGCTTGTGCCAGGTTTATATCGTTCGAGGAACATTTTGTTAAAAAGATGATCGCGCAGATCAAGAACGTCTCTGCAGACGTAGATTAAAAATGGTTCAACGAGCCTGTAGCCGATGTTGTCACGGTTTAAAACAATTATTCACACTCTGTATATAGCCTTCTAAAAAAATGCATTACTCTCTATGGATAGTGTAATGAAGATTTGTTCGCAAAAATATCTTTTTAAACCTATACACGTTTGCTTACACGATCGCCCAAATATATGGGCAAATACATATTTTCAGGAAACATCCATGCCTTCAAATGGCACGTGTAAATTGTAAAAACCACGCGTAGTAATCGGGAAAGAGAGATTGTTGTATAATATATATCAATCATAGAAAGTTTGCATTTGAAACATCGTCTTTTCTATTACTTCGTTAATGGAATCTATCTATAGACGAATGTTCATCGATTAAAATAATTGTGTGACAAATTATTCGCTTATGATAAATGTCATCTCCTTCTACCAATCCAAAGACATCTGTGAAAAACTATCGCTTCCAACATTTTACTTTCTGTACGTAGTTACATAGATATTTAGTATTAGAGTAAATAATCTAAGAGAGAATGCATGCTGTAGGCCTATTTTGTATGAATTGGCCGTAATATTTCTCGCATATGTGTATATATATATATATAATTTCATTATTTTAATTACACAAAACTGCAATTTTATATGCCTGACTATTTCTTTATTAAACAGATGCCGTTCGTCACAAAACAGAATGCACTAAAGATGTTACAGCAGATATTACTTAGGCTTTGTCAATAAATTTATAGAAAAAAGAGAACTTGTCATTGTTATATGAGATGCTTGTCACTGTTATATGAGACTGTTATAATACAATTCTATGTTTAGCGTTGCATTCTCATGGCCATCGTTTCTGCATCCATCAAAAACATTTCTTTCAATTTAATAAATCGTAGACAAAATTTTTGATTATATTATCGGAGACGCTTCTCGCATAATCATACGATGCTGTGAGCGTCCTGAAGCGTAATATGTATATATAGGAATGGGAAAAAGTTTTAAAATGTTTAGAGATAGGATTGTACAATCTTCTTTTTGCTCCAAGATGAAATTCTTATAATGATTCTAAAAAGAATTTCGACTGTTCGAATGTAGCAAATCACAGAGAACAATCACCGAGATATATATGACTGTATATTCGTAATTTCAAGGTGATTCCTTTAAAGAATATTTTTGCGTCATTTATATCACGTATCAACGTAGCGTTAGCATCACGTACTTTTGCACCATCTTACTTAATTTGTCACGTTAGAATCGTTATGTGTGTAATAAAACTTAACGCGATTAAATTAAGACGCGCTGGATTGACCCTTCAAAATTATGTCGCAATTATTTCTATCTAATTAATCAATTGTCAATTGTGAAGCAAACGGAAGTGTATCGGTAATTTATAGAGCGTGTACAATTTATGTGAATTTATTAATAATTTATTAAACGAAAAGCTGGCTAAAAATTACATTTCCGCGCGAAAATCTTCGATACTTTGCGATTTACGACAAATGTATTGTCGATCGCGCGGATGTTTGCACTGACACGTTAAACAACCATGATCAACACGGATCACCGGCATTGTTTCTGTTCGGTTTTGGCATGGTCCATGATGGCTCTCTTCGACGATCTCTTGGCCTCCGATTTGCCGGCGCCATTGATACCCTTCGAACTGGTTGCCGGCAACGATGTCACTTTGGACGACTTTTTCATGTCTTTTTGGTCGCTGGAGGTCTCCGTCATCTTGTCCAGTTCCGCCATCGCCTCTTGTATCGCATTTTCCAATTGCATATTCAATTTACGACTTCTAGAAAAATAGGGGAGGAACGAGAAAATTGTACAGTTAGACAAATGATTACCAGCAACCGCACGTGCTGATTAAACCGATCAGAATAACAGAGATAACTGAGCTCGTAGTATAAAAGCTAAACACACAATCGCGACTAATAGACTCGTCAAGCATAAATGGTGATAATTGGCTACATTATAATTAACATATATGATTTCTTGTCAAAGAGAAAAACTGCATAAACGACTCATAGTAAAATATATTTTTTCTTAAAGATAATTTGCAGATGATTGCAGATTGTGTTCATATGGATTTTTCAAAATATTTTTCTATACAATCGTCTATCACTCAATCGTGCGTGTGTTAGGGAAATTAGAATTATATATTTAATAATACAGAATAAAAAGAAAGGGGAATGAGAAGAAAGATGGCTGAGAAATTGAAGTAGAACCACTTAACATATTAATGTCCAGCACATAAAAGTATCAATATTCTTTAACTAAGTTAACAAGAAGAATATTGAACCGCAGCTACGCAGTAAGCTATGCGGGATAGATTTAATTGGCTGTTGGCTTGCTAATAAATGCTACACGATCACCATAAGAGTTTTTCAGAAAGAAGAGAAAGAGAAGGTTTATTACTGTTAGAATATGAGTTTATTACGAGATAGGTTCCTATGTCTTATTTTTACCGCAATATATTCTAATAATGCGATAAGAATAGAATATCTCATGTACTACGTTTGTAAATATCTATCTCGTGTAGCACGCGATCATTCTTTGTTTATTCTTCTTCTCTTCTAAAAATGTACAATTATATTTAATTAAATGTAATACAATTTATATAACATTACGTGCATATTTTATCCAATCTTAAAAAGACGACACAATGCAACTCCACTATTCGACATTTATAATGCTCAGAATAAAAGCGTAAATTAACATGTAATTTCTGTGTCACAATTCTAGGATCGAGAATGCCGGACGTGAAAGAAAAAATTTAAAAATACTCAAGCATCTCTCCTGTTTTCTGTTTTCCCCTGAATTTTTATATTAACGCGATGACTATTAAGCAATAAGGTAATTCTAAGAGGCTCTCATCTTTCGATAGTTCATCCCTGTCGGGGTGGCTGACTCACTTCCTAAACTTTTTACGGGCGCGATGATGCGCCTCGAGGCCTTCGGAGAGGGACTTGAGGGTCTTGACATCGACTTGGGTGCGACCGCCCCCGCCCCCGTACCACCGGACCCAAACTGTCATAGTACCCGGAGGGCCCAAAGATTCGACTTTTCCCGGCCAGGCCGGACTTCCTCTTGCTGCACCCCACACTAGATCACCGACCATCAGTTTCCATTGGTTTCCATCGTCTAAGTCCTTTGTCTCGGCTACTGGGGGTTCCAAAGAAGGTACGGTATCTTTCAGAGATTTGTAATCTCGATTGTTTTCGCGTGATTGTGAAAAAATTGCGAAAAAGCCCATCTCCGAGAAAAGACTTTTGTACAGACATATTGGATAGAAAACTGTGACGGAGTCGTATAAACGAGAAAAATACTTTTTTTTTAGATATAATATTAATATATGTATATTATATATACTAATTACAATACATTAATAATATTAAATTGTTGCTACTTTCTATCTACCAGAAATTTAAGATGATGTTTTTCTTTTATTATATCGCGATTTTATTTACTTTACAAAATATCTATAATTGTTCTTATTAATTTGTGACTTATGAATTGTTTGATACACACAAAGGATATATTAATATTTTGTATTAACATTTGCCATGATTAGCTACAAATTTACAATTATTGAAACGATCAATAGAAGTTATTAGTATAGTTATTAGTATATATGTATATATACACACAAATAATTTGTCTTCATGTACGTAAATGTACACGGGCATATACGATACCGCATTATTTCCATCTGATACATCTGTATTGATCTCGATTGCGAGATGTGCAACGCATAACAGCGAAACGTTATGCTTATAGTGCGTGTCGCAGAGGAATGTTCGAAACTGATGGTTCAACTACTCGTCCAATAGTATCGTAACAATGTGCTTCTTGCTCGCGTATGTGCTCGTTAAAAATGATTAGTAGCTTCATTCAATGGTGATAGGCGAGTTCAAAGGCAGAATGAAATATCAGACGGTTCGAATACATGCAATGATTTTATCGATATGAATATTATTTGTTCTATATTCCCCTTTCTCCATTATTTATTTATGAGACGAAATCTCTTCATATGTATATGGATCAAGCGAATAAGCACACTTATATAAATTTATAATACTTGAAAAAACCAGATTTTTTAAGTTTTAATAAATTATAAAAAACTTTTCCCCTTCCCAACTCCGTTATTATTTTTAATGTTTTAATACGGATCTTTTTATAAAAAAGAATTTACACTTTCCGATCATTTATTTACTGTTGAGTATAATCATAGTTATAAATATAATATAGCAATTATATTTTCCAATTCGTCCTAGATGTATTAATCCAACTTTATACTTTGATATCTAATTTTATTTCACATTTATATGCATTAATAATCATTGTCCTAAATCATTGTCTAGTAAATGTTCCTCAATCGTTATGAAATAATTCGAAAAAGACCTCCATATCCTCGGGAATATGCACATGCTGTACGTAAAACATAAGGGTATATATGTACAAGGTACGTTGAAATAACACACGGTAGTGAGCCACACCCCTTCCGAAATGAACATATGATTCAAGATCCTTGACCACTCGGATGAGAATGTAATTGCATGGGTAATGGTATTAACAAACCTGACAGCCAATTAGTAAACGCAAAAAAGGGGATCTTCACGGGCATTATTTACAAATGTCAAAAGTTATTTTCTTCACTTCCCCAAGCGATCTCGAAGACACATACGTGATGAATGAAGGGTATTTTAGTACTGACGCCACTTACCTGTTCTCTTCGACTTCTCGCGTTTAATGTGATTAATAATGCGACGTTATGACGAATAAATCGCTATCATAGACTGATTCGGAGAACTTTGTTCTGATTTGCACAAAATATTTTCCCGGCGTAAAGCCTCGAAGAGGGAAACGATCCCTTTCGATCTAGCGTCTAGTTCATGCATGCGCAGAATCTCAAATATTGTGAAAAAAAAGCTGCTACCAAAGCAATTGCAATGCGGCAAGCGTACGTTTTATCATGCAACAAGCATGCACAATTGAAATATAAATAAACTAATAAATAAATATTATTAACACACAGGCAAAATGGTGACATACATGGTACTCGGTTAAAACAGCAAAAAGAGTTAGACAATGCCAATGAAATTAAATAATGTACGCGAGCATGTACTTTTTTAAGTTGCAAACAATTCAATTAAAGATAAAGTCATAGAAACACTCTTAATAATAATATTCATACGATGATTATTTGGTGACAAAGAGCAACGAGGAGCGCATTGTTTTTCTCTTGTTTAGACGAACCCAGCGTCTACTAAATGAATTGGCAAAACAATGAGCGACGCTTTACGTTCCTCATTTTCACAAAAAGCAACTAACAAAAAACATCCTGAAGAAGAAACTTTCTTACGATACGTTTATCGAAACAAAATGTTAATCTGATTAATGAGCTTTAATACTTATCATTAAATTATAAAGTAATTCATATAAGTAAGAATATATTCTCGCATAAAATCTATGTGGAAATATTAATACCGATATTACTCTATTGAAAATTGGAAACTTGTACATGTTGATTGTAAATTCATACTACCTCTTTTTTTTCATTTACATCAATTATATTATTAAAGTTTCTTCGTAGAATGCTTTTACTACTACTAAGCGGAAGTATATTTTGACTACTCGTATACGATTAACATCTAAGAGTACCATACAATACTGACCATCTTGGTCTTCATGCAGAGTAGAATGCATGGAATGGATGGAGTCCAGCTTTCGCTTGATTCCGCGGCCGAGGGCATGTTCCCTGCCCTCGCACCTCACCGTGCTCACCACACCTTCGGCTTGCTTCAACGTCTCTGACGTATAGATCTGTCAAATACAACTCGATCAACTCAGGCACAAGCCTACCAATCGCATGCTAATATCATTTCACAGTGTATCATTCAGTGCCGATGTATTATTTTTCGTTACTTGAGAATTCCGGTTCATATTTCACAAGGACTTTATGATTTTCCTCGATCGAGCATAGGAGACAAAAGCGCAAAATTTCAATTAAAATATACAAGGATTAGACAATACAAAAGAAAAAAAAACTAATTAAATTAAAAGAAAAAATTAATAGAAAGATTGTAAGATCTTTTGACCGATATCTCCGATGCTTTTAATGCAAAAGTCACGCGATTCATCGATGCATGCAAACGATAATGATACCAAAAGAGACAAACTCAAACTCTGTTTACACATGCTTACATTGCAAGGTATATATATGTTCAGAATTATATATAATTTTTATCAGAGAGAGAAAAGGATAATGTTCAGTAAAAATTTATTTTTTTGTTATTATATATAAAAAGGAGTGATTTTTTTGCTGATTAATCCGATCAACACACGATTAGTAGTACAATTACATTATTGCAATATACGATTTAAATAATAACGCTACGAATAAACGAGCGCTCTCCGCCATAGCGCGGATGTAAAAATTATTAACGTTAAATACAAACTAATTACAAACTTAATATTATCGAATGTAAACCGATCGCAACCTAATAATGCCACTGGTATATCTATCTCATTTCAATTTACAAAATTAATTAATTTTGTAGCCCGCGCGAAAAAAGAAATTACTCGTCTGACGATGAATCACTCTCCTCAGCGTCATCGCCCTCTTGCGCATATACGAATTGATTATAAACGTATGGATTAATGTAGGCTTGCTTACTAGGTGTGTAATTAACAACAGCAATGCCATTAGGGTCAGACCTATAATTATATAAATGTGGATACAGTTCGGACGGCGCGATGCCAACGTTGACAAATTTTTGCGGATACCCGATATTTTGTGGACAGTAAGATACCCCGGTGTTATGTCGTTCTAATAATTTCTCTGCGGAATTTTGCTCCATCTCTTCTTGTTCCATGACACGCTGCTCGATTTCAGAGACGCGATTACTATCTACGCACGATTTGTCGTTGAATTTGTTATTAACCTGTGGCATCATGGTATAATGAGCGTGATCTGGCACTAAGGCTTGCTGTCGATAAACGTTCGCATTAGGGACATAATGTTGGCCATGATAAAGGATTGGTTGATAATGACCGTGACCTATGATTGGCAACGGATTGACATCAATCTCCGAATAGGAAACATCCGTCATTTCTTTACTGACGCTTAGTTGATCTTCCACGGTAGAGTGGTCCATTGTGTCTGAATTAATGGAATGATTTGGTGATGAAGTGTCCATATACTCCTGTGAGTCAGCGTATGTGTTTTCTGGGTGTGTCGTATCGGCTGGCTGGTGCATGTCTATTATAGTTAGATGACGGTTGACCTGCTCTACGTGGGTACCAACCTGGATCCCAGTGGTCACTGTGGACTCCACGTAAGTCTTTCCGTGCAAGCTCGGTTGATTCAACGTGATCTCCTTGGTGGCGATACTCTGCATTCTCCAATCTTCCGATGCTACCTGTGTGTCGCCTGAATCCGGTTCACTGCTTGAGACGCAATGAACCATAGGCTGAAAATATATCGCGCATCACGTGATAATTCGAAATAAACGCGATTATTCTTTATAGAAGGAGAAAAATTCTATACGTTTTTTATTTTAAGCTATAATAATAAGAATTTAAACAGAAATTATTAAATCATATTTTTCTCCAACATTAAGAAATTAGAATTTATGTTGCAAAAAAGAAATTAGATAAACTATTCTATTTGTTTTAAATTATTTTTTACCGTTGACGACGAGTGATGTCTGGCGGTGATTGGAGGCGCTGGCGAAGCTGCACCGTGTGTAGTAGTGTCCACGGCCGGACTATTGGACCTCTGACTATTTCCTGGGCTATGAGTGGTCGTGTCTGGTGGCGATCCTTGCCGCATCATTGCTGATTGTACCACATTGGTTTGATTTCCGGCTGTTTGTGTCGATACTGAATGCCTTGCCATAAGCGGACTATGTTGCTCATTCTGCTGAGCCGTTTTTTCTACAACGGTCGTGCTACTACTAGCGAGCACATATTGTTGCTGCTCGATATTTTGGTCAGACGATGGTGAATTTACTCCGCTCTTAGGGGAAGATGATGCCGCTTTTCCTTGAATCATGCCGGAACTCAAGATATACGATTGATTGTGGTCGAGATTTAAAGAAGGTTCGACTGCTTGTCCAGCGTTAGAAGTTGCGCTTTGAAAATTTGGTATCTGATTATTTGACACCATAGTCGTTTGCTGCTGCACGATCGTCGTATTCTGCTGGACAAATGTTGTGTTCTGTTGATTCGGTGCCGAGGAAACAGCAATGTTCTGCGCGGTAGCACAAGGTACCATAAGAGTTTGCCCATTCATTTGTATGAATTCCTGTTGACCCTGCATATTCGGCGGTCTCACTTGCGAGGTATTGAACGTCACTTGCTGATTCGGACTGACATTCGCTACTATCGGACTCAGTTGATTCCCGAAAGACGTTGTTCCGTTTACCAGAAATTGGCCGCTGTTTGGTGAAAGAAATTGTGCTCCCGGACTGTGCTGCTGAATTATTTTTCCACCGGTTGCTTGCGGCGCCCGTATTACCATACCGGCTGGACCAGCAGCCAATATACTTTGACTGGGATTAAATATACTACTATGACTCTGTACTGGTGTCAACACATTCTGGCCATTGACGTTCTGTATCTGAAGCTGCATCCCGATGTTACCCGTATCCTGCAGCAATGTGGCCGTTCCATCAGCAGACATAACCATGCTACCTAAACCAGGCACGATAAACTGCTGAATAGTGGGGAAATTTTGAACCATCCCAGTCGCTCCGTTCAACAAGTTTACCGGTTGAAGAAGATTTATTTGTTGAGCCGGTTGAGGATTCGTAATTATTTGCTGAGCGTTAAATTGCGCAGATGCTGCACCAGTTTGACCGTTCATGACTAACTGTGCCGGTGCTCCACCTTTGCCAGGTACGATAGTCAACGCCTGAAGCATAGGCCCGCCTATACTCTGAGCCTGAAAGTTCTGTTGCGCAAAGTTCGACTGCGACTGCATCAGCATACCAGCATTCTGCTGAGACGAGGCAATGTGTAGCATCGACGCCACGGTCTGCGGATTCGCTTTCCGTTTTTTGTACGCCTTCTTCTTGGTCATTGCTGATTCCGGTGATAGTAATGCTGGCTGTCGATTCACCGTCATACCTTGGTTGGCACTGACGGTTCTAGATACATCCTGATTCGCGTCGAGGATTGATTGAGTGTTCTGTATAACGTTGCCGGTAGCGACTGTAAGATGCGGTATCTGCACGTTCTGACCTATACTGTCCATAGTCATCACGCCAGGCTGAATCAGCACCGGCGTCTGAATGGTATTCACGAGAACCGTCGGTTGCCCTATCACTTGTTGGGCTACACCTACCGCAGGAATCACTTGGCTGACGGCTCCGGTTACGCTGGTGACCATTGGCGATACCGACAACGGTGGCATAGAACTGGCATTCGAAATGATTTTCGGTGGAGGAGGTGCCATTACGCCATTGATAGCCGATCCAGTACTTGCCATAATGAGTTGACCGCCGCTAGACACAAGTATATGGCCAGGCGGTAGCGTCGATCCGGCAGAATGTTTCAATATACCACTAGAAGTGAGGACATTGTGAACTTGAACGTTGGCCTGAGGATGCTGCTGTTGTGACTGCTGATGCTGCTGCTGCTGCTGTTGTTGTTGTTGTTGGTGGTGGTGGTGGTGGTGCTGCTGCTGCTGAGTTTGCGGCTGCAACGACGAATTCGTACTCGTCTGAGGTACTTGTATGCTACTGACAACGCTTTGGACCATTTCAAGCGGAGACTTAGACACCATCGTCGAAGATTGATTGTGCGAAACAGCGGAGTGAGTTGTAACTAAAGCACCTGGCACATTCGCCGTTGACTGTGCTTGATGCTGCGACTTATTCGGCAAAAGATTGGGTATAGCGGGATTCGGTATCGCAGATGGTGTGTTTATGGAGACAGTGGCGGTATTCGCCCTTCCAGCTAACACAGAGGTAATTGTATTACTGCTGACTGTATGACCGCTGGCCATAGTTGTTATCACGGACGATGTTCCGCCGAAAGTGTTCATAGATATCCTGGAAACCGCGTTTACAGTGTGCGGATGAGGTTGATAGCCGTCCAGGGAATTTTGCCTAGTCGTTATTTGTCTTTTTATTTGAGACGTTAAATTGTCCGACGCGGAAGAAGACGTCTGAGACGGCGACGTGCTAGGTGGAATACAGCTGGAACTCATTGTGCCAGAATTAGGAGTTTCAGATCTTTGTTCTTGAATGTTGCCACCAATCAAGGACTGTGACGGTTGTTGTTGCACTTGCGGAGTTAGCGTTTGCGATGGTATTTGGCCTGACATGTGTGAGTGAGGCGTCGGCGGTTGCGAGTAACTATGCGGTGTCGCTGGTTGCGACGAGATAAGACTCTGTGGGGTTGCTGGTTGCGAGATCCCGGGTGTTGAAGCAGCCGGTGTATCTGAATTAGCTGGACTATTCGTACCGATAGGAGATCCGTGACTGGTGCTCACAGTACCGCCTTGTATTGGTCTGGAGTCAATTTGTTGTTGATTGCTCGTTTGATATCGTTCGCCGAACGTTGACGACGTGACAGGATCCTCGCGCTGATCCGTATTCATCAGGTACTGTCGTTGCATCTGTTGTTTATATTGATCCTGAATATAAGATTGTGTGTCAGCACTGGTGACGCAGCCTTGACACGGACTGTTCTCGGAATCCGTGCTGTTGTTGCTCGAAGTCGGCGTCATACTGCTATGTACGACAACCGGCGAGGTCGCGTGATTCTTTACGGAAGCAAACGACGACGAGGTACTCGTAGGACTGGCGATAGAGGAAGGCTTTGGTTGAGAATTATAGGTGTTAGAGACATGCATGCTGTGACTGATCTGAGGCGACGCTTTCGGATTGTTATTTAACATGCCCACTTGAGAGCTACTGACACCAGTCTGCCTCGATATTGTGCTGTTGAGCAGCGCCGTCTGTTGGGCGAGGTACCCGCTGGGATCCTCTAGGAACGAAGGACCGCTGTTGTTGAACGTTGAACCTATCTGACTATTATTCTGCTGATTTTTCTCGCTAAACTCATCTATTGGACTTGATGCTGAATGTTCAAGCCCGTTATTTGTTCTTGACGATTCTGCGACACCGTGCTGCCGTTGCTTCTTCACTATTGTTTTATTTGACTTCGCTTTCTTCCGCGCGGCCTCGTCCGTCCAGTTGGAGGGCTGTGGAATGTGATGATGAAGTGGCGGCACGCGGTCAAACGAGTTACAGGTGATATTCTGCACTGTAACAAGAGACGGTTGATGGGATACGGTTGCAGCACGATTCTGTTGCCACGGTGGTGTTCTGTTGTTAAAATGCAAGTTGCCGGGTTGCCCGTTTGGTCCCATACCAGACTGCTGCGCCTCGACAGCGTGAGTGGCGTTCGAACTTCTTCCCGTGTGATTGGATAGAACGAACTGCTGTTGATGTCCCAATTTTGCATCTGCATTTGTTCCTTTCGTAGGATCAAAATTCCTTATTGGATATTGTATTTGGTTCTGCGCGTACATCCGCTGAACGTTCTCGTGAGGATTGTTTGGCAAGCCATTTTGAACCACGTGGTGTCGTTGCATTGAATGATTATGTAACAGAAGTTGTTGCTGCTGCTGCTGCTGCTGTTGTTGTTGTTGTAATTGTTTTGCGTTTAAATCTTCATCATTAATTGATGATGCTCGATTGTGCCTATTCTGAATATCGGTAGTATTAATATTAGTCATGATGGCGGAGCCAGTTTGCTGTTGCATAACGTCCACGGAGTGATGATTTATTTGTTGGTTCGGATATTGCGGCTGAATGCACACTTGCGATAATTGCTGCTGCTGATGTTGTTGTTGTTGTTGTAGCTGCTGCTGAATCTGCATTTGAAAATGATCCGTTGATTGTGGCTGCATAGCGTGCTGACTTTGTTGAGGCTGTTGCGGCTGCATCTGATGCTGGTGAACTTGGTGCAATTGCGGATGGAGGGCGGTTTGATTCGACACTTGCGGTGACTGCATATGATGTACATAATTTTCGGCAGAATGCTGGGAGTAATTTGTCGATTGTGGCTGATCTATTTCCTGGGTCAAGTGCTGCTGCTGCTGCTGTTGCATATTATGTTTTTGAATCTGCTGCAAATGCAGTTGCTGCTGCTGCTGTTGCGAATTCAAGTGCTGCTGCTGCTGTTGCATTACGTGCATCGACTGTTGATTCAGCTGATTGATATAATGGGGAGCTTGCGTTAATTGATTTACCATTGTGTTCTGATGCTGCTGTTGTTCCTGTTGCTGTTGTAAAATCTGCATATGTTGCAGCTGCTGCTGATGTGGTAACAACTGCTGCGATTGTTGTTGTTGCGATATATGCTGCTGAATGATTTGCTGCTGTTGATGCTGCTGCTGCTGCTGCTGTAGGATAAGTTGTTGTTGTTGTTGTTGTTGTAAGAGCTGCTGCTGTTGTTGAGTCATATTATTGTAATTTGTACCCTGCTGATTCATTATCAGCGGATTGTTCATCAGCATGCCCGACATATTGTGTTGGTTTAATCTCTGTTGAGGATTTCTTGCACAATTGTTCACATCATGATTTTGGGAAGGCGAATTTAAAGATTGATGACAGATTTGTTGGCCATTTTGCTGGACTTGCAGATTCGCGATTGGCCATACCTAAAAATTAAATAATTATAAAATAAATATTTCAACAAAGATCTCTAGTGAGACATAAGTAAAACATATATATAGAATATGCATCTTACACACTAATCGTATATACGATCGGCTAAGTAACTTTTTGTAAAAAGATAAAATATAAATTTGTTTTAGATTTTGTAATTTATTTACAAAATAATAAGAATACTGCGCTGCTTAGCATTATATAAAACGCACGACAAAAATTTAATTTGATGATTTTCGGCTCAGAAAAGAACCTGATAATTTGCAATTCTATTATAGCTACGACTCAATTACCTGCGATCCATTAGGCACCGGTGAACCTTGAACTCCAGAAGCCGCAACCGCGGCGATAGCTCTTTCCCGTTGTGCCAGAAGTTGCGAAACCGAGACGCCGGAATAAATGCCGCCTATGCCTCCTAGTTTCCTTTTCTTCTTCTTGCTGTGACCATCTGCGCATGCCAATAAAGTATCTCTTAATAAACCAGAACCGGAATTCAATTATATTTTCGATTCGCCGGTATCTACTTAAAAATAAATCGTCAAAAGCATTTCCCGAGAGTGCAATTGTGAAAGACAATAAGTCTCCGGTGCTAGAGAAATTAAAATACGACTTATTCGCCCTAATCCCGAGCCGTTGGCGTTTTCGCTTATTATTCAGGCGATGTTCCAAGCTCCTTAATGAAGCAAATGTTCCATTTGAAATCCCGCCGCAAGATTAAATTGTATTTAGCCCGACATTTCCGTGCTTTAACTCTCCACTTTTTTAAAATGTCGACCTTTCTCTCGATTTGCATTCTCATCCCGAAAAATATCGTTCACGAAAAAAAATTGTCAGTAATAAACCAGGATCTAATATGTCACATGTATTAAAAAATTAATATAATTATATTATTATATTAAATAATTGTCACACACACGCGACTTTTTAAATAAGTTCTCATAAGTGCTTTATAAAATTTAAAACTACAGAATTGAATTTAATATATCTCCGCATATGTCTTTAAAATTTATCAAAAACAAAATGTAAATTATAAATAAAAATCTAGAATTTTATAAAAGATTTCGAAATTGCAATTTGACAAATAATAAATGGCATATAAACAGAGAGAGATGGTGTGTAAGTGTAAATAAGTGTACGCAACCTATGTATATCAACATTAGACAGAACATTTTAATAAAATAAACGGTATAAAAATACTCGGAAAGAGATGAAAGGATTAAACAAATTTATTATACTTCGAAAACATTATCATTTGCATGTTTTAGAACAGTTGCAAGGACTATCGACGCTTTCGAATTACCGTGATTTATGAGAACGTGTTAGAAAGAAGGAGGAATAAGATTTTCAACGCGGGGCGACAGGCAAGGGGATCTTTTATCTGTAAGCCTACAGAAGATAATTATTCTTTGTGCGCGTCGATTGGCGCGGGGAGAGAGCCGGATAATTCTCGGCGAAGGGGGAAGAGCATGAAAACGATGAGAAGAGAAAGCGAAAGGGGAGGGTGATCGTAGTAATGAATCTAAGGCAACTTGTTCGTCCTGACGGCAGTTTAACCCGATTTTCTAAGGGAGACGAAAGATTTGCGTAAAATCTTTGGATCCATTTTGTGGCTTCCGGGGTTTTCGCGCGAGCGCGTAAAGTCTCCCCGCATCCATCTACTTGGAATGCCTGCAGTCAATGGCTTGAGCAATAAACGTTCTCGTCGTTAAACTCGATGAAAGAGGGCGAGTAGTAATTGGAAGATGTAGTTCGTCGTTTGCGGCTGTTTTTAACTGTCCCAGGTACTCGTTTAAAGAACGGGATGTTTATTGTTAATTTACTCGTAACAAATAATTGATTTTACATAATGAATATTTGTTATTGTTAAATATTAAAAATTGAATTATTGAATTAATTTAAATATTCAAAACTGCAATTACTAAAACGTGTTTTAAAGCATTAAAAATATAAAATTGTAATAAAAAAGTTTTCGATTTCTTCAAAATTTTATGAATTTAAACAAAAACTTGAAAAATTTCTGATAGCAAGTTAATTCCAGTGACATGAGCATCAATTCTCTCATTGGAAAGTTAGAGACACACAAACGCACTTGTAAAGATGATACTCGTAATCTCGCGAGATAAATCCAGCCTTCATCGGTCTCACTGATGCAGCAAGGGCCAATGTTGGTGGCATCATCGGCGCTTTAACTACACCTACAACAAGAGTCAGGCACGAGCGTCGCGAATTTACTTTCAAGCTCCAGCAATCTCGACGGCAAATAACTCTCTTTAGTGTGAGCATGAAAATCCGCCAGAATCGCGTCGTTACGTCGAGGCGTTGATGCGGACTGAGCGGAGTGAGATTGAAATGCGCTTGCGCGACGAACCGACGGGGGTGGACATGAGGGTGACTTGGAAGAGAGAGAGAGAGAGATAAAGAGAAGAGTAAGGACTCTTCGTCGAGGGAACAAACGTCACTCTCAGGGGCAGGCGCAAGAATCACAACCGGACACAGTCGTTGGACCGCAAGATTGCTCTCTCTTTCTCCCTACTCCTTATGCGCACGATCGTAGTTCGCTCCTCGTACGAAATTAACCCTTATCAACTTTGTGTCTACCACCTCCACCTTCTTCCATGACCCCCACCACGAGGTTTATAGCCTGGCTTCTTTCACCCCTTCCTCTTGTATCCACCACCTACGCCATCGGTCGCGGTTCGTCGTCATCGTCGTCGTCGTCGTCGTCGTCGCAGCGAAGGGAAAACGGATTCTTTTCTCCTCCCGGGACTTTATTGATCGACGCCGCGATAAGAAGGCCGCGAGCCGGCCGATTGGTCTAAGGATATGGCCGCTACACCGCGATCTCGTCACGATACGGTAGATAAAAAATACCTCTCCCGCAATCTATTCTTTCTTCATGCAATTGGGCTAATTCGGATTAATATGTTTTATCTGCCAATTGTCAATGATAAGTGCGATAACGTTTTACAAAGACCAATTTCTCTATTTGATTATACAATGTATTAAATATCTCATTAACTAAGATCTTCCTGCTCACTCCATGCAGATCGGATTTATGCGTTTATATACTTCGTTTCATCCCCCTAAACTTCTTAAGAAGATTATTTTTCTCAGCAATATCCTATGTAAACACACCTTTCGAAAAGAATACAAGACCTAATAGACTCGTCTGGTGTAGGCGGTAGAGTTAATCTGTTTATACAACACGATATCCTCGATAAACAACGAAACCAAACACACTCGACTGCAAGTAATCCACCAAAGAATTTTTCATGGTTTGCCACTGCAGTGAAAAATCCGGTAGTTCGTGCGAGGGTGAATCGTCAGGGTTCGTCGCCCGTAAAATCTCTACTCGTTGCTCTCTGGATGTTGCCGTAACTGCCACGAGGACAAAAGTGATCGATCGAGCTCCAGGGAAAACTGTTTACAGGGGAAAATTGCTTGGAACGGCAAAAGATCGCGCAAAACGCGAATGTATTATTAATCACTTAATATAATATAATAAATTGTATGATATGTCGGGAGTCTCGTTAAACTTTTTTTTTTTTATTTTTCTCGATGAGATTAAACTACTATTTTAATTAAGCCAATTGGATTCTACAATAAATCTGAATACATAGCAAAAACATTTTATTTAATGTTTTACTTTTCATCATTTAAATGCATAGAGACAGTTTTCAATTTTATAGAAAAAAAAATTTATTGTAAATTGTCTAAATAATTAATTAAAATTTTGTTCAATATTTCTACAAATACGCAATAAAAAATGAAGCATTTTGCATAACTCGAGGAAAGTTAACGCGACAATTAACATATTATTAAATGTTGACAGCAGTGGACCACCTCAGATAATTGTAATTTCCATTTTGCTCTCGTGCACCGATAAAACCGAAACGGGCGTTCAATCATTCCTACTCCCAGCGCGGTATATAATCCATCGTACGTAAGCAAAGACCCTTCCCTTTTTAATTCTTTTAGCAAAGTCAAACTGAAAATCAGAAAAAGGGGGAATTAAATCGGGCTCCCAACGGGGGTGAGCGCGTTATGAAAACTCGGAGCTCGACGTTTCACGATAAAGATTCATTCTCTACTTATTCCCTTTGCCGTTCTTCCCCCTGCCATAGGATGTGCGTGTATGTATGTATGTATGTTTGCGCAGAGACCGATGGCGTGGTAAAGAGAAGAAAGTCGAGGGAAAAAAAGCTACCAACCCTCCCATATCCAGCGTGTCGTTTTATATCACCGGAGAATTGGAATCGAAGCGGCGCGAGCGTGCGTCGATGTTAAAACGACCCTATAAAGTCCCATAAAAACATTGCCAACGACAAGCATGTATATCGTACGGATGTACGCGCATACACGCACCAACCGTAAACTCGGGTTAAACTTTAGCCCTAGATATCCAGACGCAAACGTGAAACTATTCACCCTCTGCTCGATGCTGCGCACGAATGCATCTATGCACTGGAATGCATCGTAATCTATTTATGAGCGGACACTGTAAATCGATCTGTTTTTGTTGTTGATAATTGCAGAGCAAACTCTTCACAAAGACTGCATACAAAGAGAGAGAGAGAGAGAGAGAGAGAGAGAGAGAGAGAGAGAGATGTTATATCATATAAATATATCCTCTCATTACAAGACCACAAATAAAGACACATAATTTTAATCTTTAATTTTGTAATGTGTGTATAAAAAATCGTAATATTTTCTAAAATATACATTTATTTTATGTAGATACATCATTTTCACGATATTCGAGTAATTCGATGTTCGAGAAATGAGAAGCGTCCTCCCAACCTCCTCTGCGAATAATATTAAAACGTGCAGTTGCGAGAAGCACAGGGTGAAAGTTTAATAACCGTTGGTCACCGACACGGTCGCGTCCGGCATTCAATCTACACAAGCGGATTATAATTTCTAGCCGACGCAATTTGGAGTACAGGTAGAGGTACGCTGGGAACGCGTTTGTCGCGCGTCCTACAACAGCCGCTTAATTAACGGCGTGGAAATAAGGAAAAAAGAAAAAGGAGAGGAGAGGAGGAGGGAAAGGAGCAATGCGGCGGGATGGGTCGGTTATGGGATTTGGTAATGAAATTCGGTGGAGAGTTTGGCGGCTACGGTGATACATCATTCCACCCTGTCTCCGTTTCGCCCTTTACCGCGCTTCTCTTGAGCTTTAATGTGCCAACGTGGCGGGCGAAGAAAAGACGATCCTGAAACGGGAAAGAGAGAGGGGAAAGGGGATACGATGGGCGAACCGACTAATGCTGCAATTTCGTCGTTCTTCTTCCACCGAGTCGACTTTTTTCCCTAATGATCACGGCTCACTTGACGGAGGGGATGGAAAAACTTTTGGTCTTCCTCCAATAAAAGTTGGCACGTGTTCCCGCGCAACGGTGAATAAACGTCTCGGCGATTATGGCGCCGATTCGACGTTCGACTTGACAGAAAACTTTGTTAATACAGCGGATCGATAGAAAAAGTTTTGCGGGTACGTATGTGAGTTTGATTATCGAAGTCGTCGAGATTACGAAAACAGATGTTGAAGAAATCTTAATTTTGATCGATCGCGCGGGAATCGCTTAACGCAAAAAAGAAATGAAAAGTTTAATGCAATATCGACATAAATACTTAAATAAAATATATAATGCAAATCTGCTATTATATATAGTAAATATTATACTACATTTGTTTTCATATCTAAATTTTCATCAAAGCCTATATTCTTGTTAAAATTTTTAGCTCACATACAGATTCGAAATTATAGTTTCTTAAAAATCATTTTTGATTTATATTCTTTTATTATGTCTGATTCTACAATTATTGTACTTTTTTTTAAAGCGATCCTTTTTATTCATATAATAATACTCTTTCATATTTGCAATCACACATTCTTACCTTTTCTGGCTTTATCCGGCGATGTGGGCGAATCGGCGTTCGCGTGAATCGAGGTCGTTGTCGGGCCAGAAGATAAAGTCGACGATGAGACCGCCGGTGTACAAGACGCAACAGGACTGGCGGCCGCGGACGGCAGCAGAAGTTTCCTCTTATGGTTGCAGAGCTTGGTCATCTCGCGCGTCTTGCCCTGATCCGGGCTCCAAGGTCGTGTCGCAACCTGAAACAAGAACGTGCGCGCCGCTCGTTATTCGCCTGATTGTATCGCGCAGCCGGTGTGTGATCGGCTAACGAGTTAACTTTGAATCATTTCGAATGCACGATAAAATATCACGAAATATCGTTAAAAAATTTTAAAGTACATGGAGCTTTTTTAGAGAATCTAAATCTTGAAGAATTATATTAATATCGTCGACAAAAATTTCGGCGACAATATTTTCATCGACCTCTATCGCGTCGACCGATCAATATGTAAAACATAACGCTGATGATTTACATTTATAGTTTTATTTTATTCTGCCATATAAAATGATAATCTTCTTTAACGGCGACAATATTTTCATCGACCTCTATCGCGTCGACCGATCAATATGTAAAACATAACGCTGATGATTTACATTTATAGTTTTATTTTATTCTCTGCCATATAAAATGATAATCTTCTTTACTTTCGCCTGATTTCGTCGAGAGGATTGCCATAATCGGCGAATATCCACGCTCGCGAAATAAAAACGAGCGAAAGATGGTCGAGCGAAGCGAGTAAAAAGGAGAGACTAAGGGAGTCGGTGGCCCCAGCTGACGAGGCTCATGAATCTCATGATCGATGCGCGATGTTGCGAGCGAAGTTAAAATGCCCCCGAGTTGAAAGGCCGATGCCCATAATGGCCGTACGCCGGACTTCGCCGTGTTACGTGTCAGCTCGGGAGACTTTCCGCAGCAATTTACGGCCGCCAACACGGTGCCATTACAACGTATCGTAAGCAAGATAATGCCACGCTTGATATATAAGAGCTATCCGTAAAGCGGCCTCGCGCGAAATGTTAATCGTCGTTTCCTCGATGGTCTTTGATGATAGGTAGGATACGATGAACATTATCACTAATCGCTAATCATGAAAACAATAAACAAAGAATTATACTGCTATATATTTACTAATTAAAAGATATGCATGCAAGATATATTTCGCGAAAAAAAATATATGTTCGCAAATAATGTTGTAATATTTGGATTAAAGACGCAGATCATGGAGTTTTACAAAGTTGGCGGAAAATATAAGATTCCGCACAACAGATTTGTCACACCACCTGAGCTAGTACTCAGCAGCTTAATTAAGGACGACCTGAATACGGCGCCGAGATTAAGCGTACTCCCGGCGCCGGTTGGCCTTGGCATCGAGAGTCGACGAGTGTAATGATGTATACAGGTAGTTAACTCAATCAGTTCTTTTCTCTGACTGGTCTATCATTCATTCTGCTTCTGACGAGGTGCTCATCAGTTTATCGGTTAATCACGCCCACCGCGATACCGAAGAGAGAACGAAAACAGAGTTTGCGTCGCAGTACGACCCATTTTAAAAATATTGCGGATCAATCAAAGATCCTGTCGTGATAAAAAGGCAACAGATTATAATTTATGAATCGGCTATCACGCCGGATTGATCTTTCAATTAAGAAAGTAATTTTAACCTGTGATACGGTAATGGTAACGTTTATAAAAAAGTTGCATTTTTTTTTGACGACAAAAGGAAAAAAAATATAATATATTATCAGTATTAAATAAAATATACAAAGTAATAACGTGTTATATATAAGCATATTCTAAAAAATTAAACTATTCTTAAAAAGACATCTGCATTTTTTGCGGAGAACAAAGCATCAGGGACAAAATATTGTATGTGTGAAAACTAAATTTTTTTTTTTTTCATTCGTGTTTGCTAGGCAAATTGCGTCGGAGCGTGCAATCGCGGTTACGTCGTACAGTCGTATATTAGCAAAGCGTACGCGGCAAGGTGTTTGCATCACTACCTAAATAATCCTCGCCGCTGAGAGTATATACGCGGGTTACACCGTCGCCGCTTTCCACGGCATTATTTCCCGTCACACGCCGCCCATTGCACGCGAGGTAATCATACGGCGATCGGCGGCGGTAACCGCGATTTAATCCTTTTTCTCGGACGCGAAATGAGACGCCGTACTGCGACAGAAACGACTTTAATATGATAGCTTTTACCCATCCCCCTATCCGTGCCCCCGTGTTCCCGTACCCGGACGAACGAACGTGGCCGAGTATCTCCCTCTTGATTAGACGATCCCGAAAGGGAAAATAAACTGCACTACACACGCATTGCTTGTAATTATCACGAATCGAACCAGCCAACTAGCACACGTTAATGATTTTATATGAACTGCTTTACATAATAGGTTACTGTATCGCATTTATAATTGCAATGAATTATTACGTAAGAAAAAAATAAAATTAATATCATAAATCCTTACAAAAAAAATTTATAATTAAATGTGTCTACAGCGAAAACTTTAGCGTGTGCTAAATAAGAGAAGATAAAATACATGTGAAGAAGCATTATCAGATATAAGATTACGTTTTTATTTTTCATCTCTTTAGCAATTATACGGATAGCTATCATTTAATTTAAAAAATGCTACAATAAAATTTAATGATAATGAAAAAGAGGAACTTGTTAGGAACGTAATAAAATTATCGCGTATATATATAATTTACTTGAAGGTTAATATTTATTAAATTGTTGTTCATTAATACTAATAAACTAGATATTCGTAAATAATATACGTTAATTATATAAAATGAATCATAATCTATGCAATGTGTCGGCACTTAAATCGATACAATTAATATCGAAAGACACACGAGCATAAAATTTAATATCGTAACTTATGAGGATTTCGTTTCTCATTGTTGCGAATATTTTCATCGCAAAATTTCTACATCGCGCAGCACATGACGGGTACGCGAGTGAACGCGACGATCCGCGAGTTTTATTTTGAGGAAGGTAAATCATCGTGCCGCCACGTTCTTCACCGACTCTGGATCTCGGGACCCAATCAACTCCACATACACAGAGCCGTATTCCTTACGGCGCGACGCGAAGCGAAGCGACGCGCTGACCTCGACGTCGTTAAATTAAATTTATGTCATTCCCGCGACGTCCTCCTCCGCCTTGTACATATACCATATGCGTTTATCGTTACCGCGCGATATTACGTTGAATTAACGTAACAAGGCTATTAGTCTGCGATTTTACGACTTTAATCGTGACAGCGGAACCAAACTGCTCTCTTTCTCTCTCTCTCTGTCTCGGTCCCAAGTCTCACAAATTGGCTCTCGAGACAATCACGCGGGAATACATCGTACGTATCTGTCAACCATGGATAATTAAATGTAGGTACGTATATGCGCATACGATTGTTCGCAGGTAACATTCCCAGAGAAGTCGGCTCTCGCTGATTGCGCGGGGAAACTGTGCGTCTTTTTCTCGTAACGAGGTAGCTTATTTGTTACGGCACACAAATACAAATAATAATGTTCACTAAATACTGCACCGAATATAATTGAGTAAAATAGCGAACATCGTTGTGTAGAACGAGATTAACCTCGTTAAATCTATTATCAGGATTTTTCGAAATTTTATTACGAGTTACTACAAATTTTCTACGATATATACAAGTAACAGTGTATTTCGCTATGTAATTAATTATATCAAGTATACATGTTTAATGTACACATTATTATTTACACTTGTCGCAGTAAGTTGTAATGCATTGCAACAATCAACAAAACACGATTATCGTATTACGTGCAATGCAATCAATTTAACAATATAATTTCAATTTTAATAATTTTTATTCTGACTCGATTTTTCTGCGTTAAACGGTTTATATGACGTTGTGCATACGTTTTTCATTTTGTGCATTTTCACGATGATAATATAAAATTTTATAGACTCGCGTTATTAAACTTGGCCACTATTAAGCGTATCGCATCAAAGCCGGGAATATGGATCGACAATGAATGTTCGTCGACGTCAATGCGAATATCTAATTTACGATCGACGCTGTTGTTCCCGCATTAATATCGCCATTATTAAACTCGAGCAACTATCCGACATATAATGAAAGGTATCTCCACGTATACCGGTCTACAAAGAACTTTCGATGCTCGCTGTTGAAGCCACATTGCGAAATGAGATACAACGATGACGTGTAATTAATTTAACCGAATACCTAAATTATATATACGAAAGAGTAACGATGACGCAAGATGAGAGAACTTAAATGCGCGTTGCCTATTTATCAAATAATTGTCATTTGACAGTGAGAAAGGAATCTTATATTTAATCGAAGATTCAAATATTTTGTGTTTAAAATATTAATATGGAAAAATGATTTATGCGAACACTTTTCACGATATCAAAAAATTTGCTATCATGATACAAAGAATCTAGGACGCGTATTTACATAACTGCTCGATAATTAATTAATCTGTTAATTGGCAACTCTTCACCTCGATAATTGTGCGCTCGCCCTAATTTCTCACAAAAGCTTCTTGTCTAGATTATGACACGTGCTTCACTTTCAAATAATTAGTTATTCGTTTAATGAACGAAAATTACAATTTCTGTCGCGTTAATATATTTTAAACGCGTCTTTCATTATAGATTGCAGAGACAACGGATAGTAAAATTAAAGGTATATTATTGTATATCATAGTAAGCTCAATGAGCTGTGATATTTCAAAAGTCAATCATCGACGCGTGGGCGTTGCCACGCATATCGCATCGAGGATCATGACGGTACAAGAATAGGAGAGGCAAGAAAAAAAGCACGCTCTACAATTTATGGTCTGGTATTCAATCAATAGATGATAATTATCTGGTTGGCTAACTGATACTAATTCATTACGCGATAAGTCACTCTCGTAAGATATACGTAATTCCTCGTAGGAAGGAACGCTTTATGTTAATGACGTTCGTAGTAGAAATGAAAGGGAGCGCGTGCTCCGTGATATTCGCTTAATTACTACTCGTTCATGAACGAGTGATCTAAATGTTCACGCTTCTGCTACACTTTACTTATTGCACGAGATACTGATAAAAATTAAGTTGACGATGTAATAAAATAATCAATCGATGGATAAAGTTAATTTGAACAGAAATTAATAAAAGATAATAAATATCGATTGCCT